TATTTTAGTACCTACCTATTTATATATTCATAGGTATTCGAATATATATAGTTATGTATTTATATTTTAAAAACCAACTGGTTTAAATTTAACCAAGGATGTGTTTACTGTTAAGTGGCAACTAAATAATAATTAATGCATTGTTGTAATAATTTATTTATTTTATCTAAATAATAGTAAGATAAATATCCAAAATATATTTAAATGTATTTTTTGAAAAAAAAAATTAAATTAAAAAATATATGGGTAAGTACTATGTCTTAACATGTCTTGATGTCTAACATCAAGTGCCATTATGGTAGCTGCAAAAAAATTATTTTTTAACTAGGAATCTAAACCTATTGTTTTATATTTTGTATTAAAGCATGTAACTACTACTAACTATGTATATTCTTACACGTTTAGTTAATTATTCACATTTTTAAGAGCTTACAATATAATATTATATGAGTGCATATTTTAATGGTATCTTTAGTGCTATACGTTCTATATAGAACCCCGAATAACATTTTTTTCATGACCGGATGTAGCCACGAGTAACCAACAGTAACCACGTTCAATTATCTGTTTTCTAAATTTATTTAAGATTTTTTGTGCTCTATCAGCAGATAACTTCAAAATTCTAGTTGAGAAGACTGGTTTCCTCAATAAATGTCCTGTTATTAAGTTCTTTTTTTAATCATACGATTTCCGACATATAGGTAGGTACTGTCATCTATTCTAGTCCGATAGTTGTTACTTGTTATAATATGGTATATAGTATAGATATAGACGCGTGTTGCAAAAAAATAAAACACCACCAATATAACAAATTCATAAATTTAATATTTATCTATAGTAATTAGTAATTATAATTATTGTCTATCATCATATTTTGGAGCAAAAAATGTTTTAATCTTCAACTTTGAGAGTGGTGTCCAGTGGCGTATTTATGGGGGTGACGGGAGGCAATTGCCCCGGGACGCCAAATTCTGAGTCCTCAAAGGGACACCGTCGCTAGAGGTTATAACAAAATAATTTTTTAATTTTATTGGATTTGTTGAGAAATTATATTAGTGATAAATGATAAGTGAATACCTGTATCTTTCTTATAATATCTTTTACATTTATATACATATTTCTATATAATATATATATAATATTATATATAATGTATTTTATTAAATTCTCGTAAAAAAAATCTAAAAGGCTAAAATCTAAATTGTAATTTGTTTATTTAATTATAAAGGTTGACTTTTTATTAGGAATAAATGAAGTGTTAATGGTAAAATAAAAGTGTTCTCTAAATTAGTGGAAGCATAAATGCAATAAGGGGAAAATATACATTTCGGGTTATAATTTTACATGGCTTGAAACCGATTGAAAAAATTTCTGTTTTGGTTTCGATTTGTACACGGGTTTCCAATTTTTTTGGTTTTGGATTTAATACCGATTTTCAATTTTTTCCGATTTCGTTTTTGATTTTGTTATCGGTTTCAGTTTTTAAACGGTTTATACTGGTTTCTAAAATCGGTTTCAAGACCTGGACTTTTTACGTTCATTCTTAGTTTACTAATTTTTTTGAATCGAGCGTCCGATCGCCTGTTGTGTAAAGTAAACTTTCAAAAATGTCAAGGTACAAAGATTTTCAAAAAAAATACCGTTTTTAAATTATATTTTCGGTTTTTAATTATAATACAGGTATCCAATTTTTTTCGAGTCGGTATTGAATTTTAAATACCGGTTTCCAATTTTTTTCGGTTTCGGTTTTGATTTTGTTCTCGGTTTCGGTTTTATAACGGTTTATACCGGTTTCAAGCCCTGCCCTATTAATGGAGAGAAAAAGTCAACTGTAAATTAGAGGGGGCTTAAAAGTTTTTTATGATGATAAATTAAAGGAAACTGAGAAAAAAGGGGCTTCAAAATGTGTGTACCTAGGGCGCCAAAATCGTACATACGCCACTGGTGGTGTCTGGTACCAAAAGAGATCTAGTGGAAAATACCTCAGAATAATCAGGAAAAACAAAAAATAAACGGGAACTAACTAATGGGAAATATTAGCCAAAACCAGTTTTTATCTTTTAAATACCTATAAAAATCATCCTAGTGTTTTTTTTATGAAAATAAGTAATCCAAGTGTTTACGGACTTTTTACGGGATTAGTAAATCGTGAACAGTTATAACAGAACAGGCCATTCCTACCCGCTGGACACTCGTCTTGGTTTATATAGGTATAATATTTTATAAACACTGATGTATAGTCGTATGTATATGAACTTCTAATAAAGATTATTTTCAGTTAAATATCCAGTATAATTTTCATTACAAAGTATATATTTTAAAATTATCTATTACGCGTATTAAATAATTTATTACATATTTAATAAATACTAGATCTGCGCCGCTATAATGAAAGTAAACATGAATTTTTGTGAAAATAATTACTTAGTCTGTAGATGTAGGCACCTATAATGTTTTTGTACCTACTTGATCTATTACAACGTCTTTATAGTTAGGTTATCCGATAATAAAAGTGTTAATACAAAATTCATAGCCAATTATAATATATATAATGTTTAAATTATCAAAACCTAATATGTAAATGTTTTTGTGCCTAAAAGATTGTTTCATTGATTAAATACGAATTGAAAAACGCTCATGTAAACATTATCTTAACATTTAATTAGGTATGAACTTTATAACATTATAATATGCATATTATTATAGTTATACACTATATACCCAAATACACAATATAATATTATTATCTATGACTAGCTAATAGGTATGTTATCAATATTCAAAATATACTTAATAGTTATAATACAAACTATTACAAAACATATAAGGAATAACGCATATACATACACTCCTGCAATACCATCATGTGAAGTACCTTTTGGTTTCTATTCTATATTACATATCTACTTACAATAATGTATTAATGTATTATACATGCTAATATAGTACTATACGTGAAAACAATGAAAACAATAACTATAGTTTCATATTTGCCTAATCAAATTCAATGCGGTCAAATTTACATTACTAAAACGGAAAAATATAATATATATTATGAACAACACGTGATATATGCACGAATGCTCATTGCACGATAGCAGGATTAGGCCATATAATGACATACCTCTATATGAACCTATATGAACTATCGGCTATTAATCGTCCTAAATGATGGTATATAGGTAACTGCTCCGGCGCGGCGCTCTGATATGTACAGTAGGTAATATAGCCAATAGGTATTGAATGTATCTCGTCACTGTAATAGATGGGTTAAATTTTAATTCAATGATAAATAATTATAGCATACGAAAAACCATTCTGAAAGTAGATACCGTCAGCCTTAGCCACTAAAAATATTTTAATATATATTTATATTAAAATGTTTGTAGGTACTGAGGATAATACTTTCTTAAAAACGCTTTTACAAAAGTATAAAATAGACGTAAATTTGGAACTAGTGTTTGTTATACTTGGGTCATTTTTACAAGTCATGTTGATAGATTAATGCTAATGACTAACATTTTAAAATCAACATAGTAACATATCTTATAACAAAACAATAGTAAGGTTAGGTTAGGTTAGGTTACTACTTATCTTTTATCCTTAGAACACAAAGTTAAATGACTCAAAAACTACTAGTGCGAATTTTGATTCTGATACGTAGAATTTTTCAGAAAAATTTACATTTGAAAAGGGGGGGGGTTCTCATTTGAAAAACAGAAGTTTGTATCGCCACGGGACACTCCTTAAGTAGTACAACAAACTTCAAGAATTTTAAAATATAGTCCGTAAGTATATTTAAAAATTCCAAAAATCAGATTTTAATTAACTGCAGAAAATAAGGGGTGAGCAATGAGCATGCTATAATATGGTTGCTATTCCCTATTGAGCCAATGTTGACTTACCGTTGTGGTTGTGGTTGTAGCATAAAAAGGTAATAATTTAAGATTAATCTAAATATTTTGGAAATGTCATTATAGTATTTATAACGTTTAGGTATAGTAAAATTTAATAATATCCTTAAAACAGTTAAAATTTCAAATCTCCACAAATATAGTTTTGAATTACAACAAATCAATTAAAATCATATTGATTATTTTTCGTTTAAAATTTAGTGATCGAAACCTGTTTTCTGAAAAAATCGAAAATTGCATATACCTGGCAATAGCTCAGAAAGCAATAAATAACTTAAATGTATACTATGTATCTATAGAAATGCTTATACAACAATTTGGTGAAAACTTTAAGTACCTATGTGCGTTTATTATCGTTTTTTCTTTTGTTATTAGATTTAAGCATTCGACGACCAAGGTAATTAGCTCGTAAGGTTGGTAGGATTGGGACGGTTGGTACGGTTGATCAGGAACACGTGTATGTGTGGTTTTGCGCACTACGAATCCGAGTGGTCACCCATCCGGGAACTAGTGGCAGCAGTTGTTGCTTACTCTCAATTACGTTGCATGATTGATTTCAGCCATTGCTCCTCGCTAAGCCACTATTATCGTTTATAAATGAAAATTTGGGTTATGTAAAAATTTCCGTTTTTCCATAATTTTTTTTGTTTTACCCAATTTATATTACATTTGTTATTATTTATTACTTTTGACCTTCCTGCAAACTACTAAATTCGCTTGTCTACAAGAAAATATGTTGAAGTTGAAAATACTTTCCTTTGTATAGGTACTGTGTATTCTCGGCATTGAAGTGAAAATGAAGACATTATTTAACTCGCAAAACCTCAATTATTATTAAGTACCTATTGCTGTGGCATACTAGCATATTATATATTATATATATATAATTGTTGTGTTTTTATATATTTACAATAATGAATATAATATTTTTGTACACATAAAACAATTAAGTACCATGGAAAAATATCTTAATTTGTCCAGAATTTTTATTTTTCTGTAGAATATACAAAATTTAACTGTGATAGCGTGTTAATTAAATTATTATTTATTTATATAAAATTATTTAATTCAATATTTCAGTAAAAAATGGCGGATTCAAATGTCGTGCAGTGCCAGAAAAAGATCGATCCACACTTCGGAACTAAAGCCATTCACGTGGGCCAAAATCCCGACCAGTGGTCTTTCAAAGACGTCGTTCCTCCGATTTCGTTGACCACCACCTACAAACAATACGGTCCAAACGATCATGCTGTGAGTTTTTCTTTCAACCTCGACAAACAGTCTGCCACAGGCCCGCAGCTTTTTAGGTTTTTAAGAGTAAACTGCAGCTTGCAAGCAACAGCTCAAAATTAAATTGAATTTCCACCACATAACCTATAGAAATTATTTGAGTTGAATTATTCGATAAACAGTTTTTAAAATGATGCAACACCGCAGTGACGGTTCTAACCATGTGCAATATCACAGTATCACACACATATATTATACTTGTATACTTAAGTATCTAAGTTAGTCTCGATTTTAGTAATCACTAAATCACAAATAAATACTAACTCAAAAGTTTGCCAAGTCTCCAAATTCCCTGTATAGCTCACGGGGTGCAGTAATAATATACTGATCAATACGAGTATTTGAATGTTTATTGATCTTAGATTTTTGCAATAAACTAACAAGAATTTTAGACGTCATTCGAGCTGTGTTAAATGTATTCATTTTTCCCCCCCACGACAGGGATTCGAGTACAGCAGATGCGGAAACCCGACAAGAAACGTGTTGCAGAAATGCATTGCTTCGCTGGATGGTGCCAAACACTGTCTGACCTTTGCGTCCGGCCTGGCCGCCACTACGGCCGTGGTCCAACTATTGCAGGCCGGAGACCACATCCTGTGCGGCGATGACATGTACGGTGGCACAAATCGGTACTTCTCGAAGATCGCGTCTAAATTCAATGTGAAATTCACAATGACTGACATGACGAACGATAAGAACATAGCCAAATTGATTTTGCCCGAGACCAAGGTGAGTGGTAATATTTTATAAATCACTAATTATATAATACATATATATATATTATATATTATATATATCTTAATAAATATAATCATTGGTGGCGCAAATATGTTTACTTATAACTTATATATAACCTACCCTATAACCTTATAACAACTTACGTCCCTCGTCGGCTCGTCTCCTCAATTCAAAATGTAGTACTTAGTATATACTAAGCATATAGGTACTTTTATCATTTTTAGAAAATATTATGGGGTGGGCCAACAAAAAACAACATTGTTTTCCATATAATATATCTATATGGCCCCGCAATAAATTTGCGCTATATTGCATATGCATGTACAAAACGTCTGTAGTGGTACCATATTTGAAGAGGATGGGTGAGGAGGGTAATCAAGATTCGGGCAAACTTTTATTCACCAATCATATATTTTCTGTAGCTATGAAAAACAGTATTATCGATTTGATGTTTTTAAATACAATATTACAGTTGCAGACAGTTACCGCTATACGTATAAATAAGGTCAGATAATTATTATAAAATCTAAATAATAGATAACCCAGCCATAGGCTATACCATAGAGTAGTACTATATAGTATATAGTCTACGGGCTATACATGATAAATTTTCCATTGTAAAAAAATGACCTATTCAAAAAAGCTATATCCAAAAAATATTGCATGGTATCTGCGTGTTCAAGTTTATCACTTGATCAGCACTGATTGTGTGATCAATTATATTTATATATACCTATTATATAAGTTTATAGATATACGACATATTATATTAACGCTTAATATTCGTCTGAACAATGTACCGTGTGATTTAAATACATTTGATACATATTTATATACTTATACAGTTATACTTACTACGATAGGTATCTATATCATTCGAATCTCATAACTACCGTGTAGTTGACCTTGTGTCGACCTATTGAAGTTCAAAGGTGTATACATCTTCTTACGATTTTTACGCAGGTGCCTCTATAACGATTTGCACGTCTGTTCATAATACACATTATATGATATATATAACGCTACACCACTGCAGTTATTCGTGTGTGCACAAAAATCAATGAGAAATTTTTAACGAATCTATAATCAGTGGTTGAATTGGGGGGGACGCGGGGGGACGGAGTCCAACTTCTATTTTTAAAATATTTTAGCGTACCCCTTCTAATTTCAAAAATTGATAAGACATTTAAATGTTGGGGGGACGCACAAATGTTTTATACTTTTGCATACCCCTTCTATTTTTTTTCCAATTCAAGCACTGTCTATAATACAATACGTCGATCATTCGAACACGTTTACATATTTTTCCCCCGATATGCCATATTATAATAAGTTTAAAGTTATAACAGCATGCCGCATGTTTTTAAGATCCCTGAAAATATTTGATTACATTTCTCAAGTCGAAGGTACGCATAATAATAATATGCTTTTAATCCAATTCAGTTTAGCCTTTATATTAATTTATTTTCTACAAATGTGAAAAAACATATTCTCCTTCATCGATGGAAAGACATAGTAGTTTACTAGAGTAAATACATGTATCAATGTCATAAATTCCAATGAACTCAAAATATCCTTAATTTGTTTAGCTGGCGTTACATACCTACCTAATTTTTTTTTTTTGGTCGAGGCTTCGACAACTGAGGTTATTAGCCTGTGGAACTGTGGGGAAGGGTACTGTAGGTTTTGAACACGTGTGTGTTTGTTTTGATAGAATTTTTAAGTGGGCACCCGTAGGTATCTGTCATGCCAGGGTGGGGAATGGCGGTCTCTCTCTCCGGGCACGGTGACTGCCCGAAGAAAAATGCCGCCCGTGGCCGAGTTCGAACCGCCGACGGTGCGCGTCGTAACCGACACCTTATAGTCCGCTCAGCCACTCCATCCCCCACCTTCCTTATTATTATTTACTGAATCACATTTAATACTTTAAAACAAATTATAATCAACTGTTGTATCTTTATTAACTAACTATAGGTATTGTTGATATTATTATGGGTAGGTATTACAAATTGGGTAATATTATTTATTTAATTTAAAAAATATATTGATAGTTTTTTTTATCGGTATAAAACAGATGCGTTAATGATTGAAATACCTATTAGAAACAAGAATATAAGTAGATACACCGTGTACATAAATAAATGAGAATAAATTAAAACCCAATTCTCGTTGTATTAATATTATGATTACTTATTATACCGTCTGTGATGATAGTACGAAACACTATAATATTTTAGTTTATTTAATTTTAGTTTACATGAGTTGATTGAGATGAGAACAATTATTAATCCATACTATCGTCTTTTGTTCATAACATTATCACTTATCAGCTTATAACAGGGGCGTAGCGTGCATGTAAGCACTGTAAGCACTGCTTACACTTTAAAAGAAAGAAAAAATAAATTTGATCAATCACGACTAATAGGTACATAATAAATGATTTTTAAAATTTTAATTTTATTTATAAAATATTTAAGTTATAGCTGGTAGTGGTTTTTGTTATTGTTTATTTGTGTCGTACGCTGTCTACTGATTACCAACTATTTTAAGAAAATCATCGATTGTAGGTCTATTTTTAATCCATTCTGTATTATGTTAACTGCATAATCATAATACGATATACAGTGTAACACATTCTGGAATTGCTTACGGGCAGCTGTTGTTTTCGAATAGTCTATAATGCCATAGTGGGGGTCACGTATTTAACTAGCGTTTGTAAGCACATTTGATTTTGCTTACTCAAGAAACAATAGGAGCGACCCGTACGGCCGTACGTAGCCCGGCGCGTTGTAGACTGTAGTCGTTTTTACGTACACTGTCACTGTCATTCGCCTAATAGACTTTTGAAGTATTTATACTTAAATTTCTTTATTTTCTCTTTATTACATTTTTTTATACATAATTTATAATTAGGTATTTAGGTATAGTACCTATATTCTAATCACTTTTGAAAAAAAAATTTCACTGCTTACATCTTTTTAATACCCACGCCACGCCACTGGCTTATAATATAAAAAAAAACTATCCCTGTATTCCGATTTTAATTAGATAGGTACCTAATACAGAAGTACAGAAATATTTTAATCTATAAAACGAAACCATAGTTCTAGAATCTATAGATAATTGTGTAGATAAGCAGGTACTGGATGTATGGGTTTGAAGTTTTAGTCAAATTTTATAATAATTATCTGTATAATCATATATTATAATTACCATTGTATAAACATTTAACATGTGCGTGTGGCGCCGAATCCCACTAACATAATATATAGGTGTTTATAAAACAATAGCATGAATAGGACGGGTTCTACTGTTCTAGCCAATATATAGGACTATTATGTTGTATGTGAATCTGCTTGATATCGGTTTGGTGGGTGGTACCTCACATTAAATGGGTGTATTTTACAATATAATTTTTTTTATACCTATACACTGGCTGTAGCTACCATAAAGGTAATATTTATAGTAGGTATATATTAATAGGTATATTATACTCAGTATTCTTGAGGGTACGCGTCATTTATCTATAATTGTATTTACCTCGTGTCCAATCAAGTGGTTATTAAGTGGATTTTAAAACATCAAATAAATTGAGTTATTATTTTATGAATGAACTAATTTTGCATTTAGTACACAGGTCATAATAATAACAATAATAATAATATAATGGTAACAGAGCACGAATATATATATATAAAAAATATGCTTGTACTTGACATTCAATACGTTTTCTGCAATGTTTATTTATAAGTGTTTTTTTTATTAATTGACTGGTACTTATATTTTTATACAGGTATTTTATTTCTAAACGTCTAAAAAAATTTTAATCGTGTGTGTATACATAGTTGGTGTGGATGGAGAGCCCTACAAACCCATGCATGAGAGTTGTGGACTTGGAATCGATTTCGACGATTGTCCATAACATACGAAAAGACATCATCATCGTTGTCGACAACACGTTCCAGACACCTTATTTCCAAGTAAATAATTAAACGTAACATTAAATCACTATATTTCATACAATTGTAATGTATAATACCTAGATATAATTTTATATAGTATTTTACTATTTTAAATTCACTTAAAATGTATATTGTATAATATACACATTACACATATAAGTAAGTACTTCTCACCACCTAACCTTACCACCCCTCTGGATAGGCGTGGGAGAATCCCTCCGATGTCTCAATCTCAATTCATCATATCGGTAGGACATGATTATAGGACACACGGTAACCAGTCGCCGAGGCCCTATACCGATTTGTGGTATAAGGTGAAAGACGATCCGACCAGTTCCGGCATATTCTAATCGCCGCGATACCTCGAGGAAATGGGAGATTTCAGGTTAACTGTGCGACGTTGGGCAGTCCGACATAGCCTATGAGGTCACCATCTCGTCAGGAGGAGGTGGATATCACCCGGGAGTGTACTTCTTTTTTTTTTGTGATCGGTTTCTTCCCAGCTATAAAGGCTATCCGCAGACGCGATCTATTCCGTGAATACCCTGCAACGGTTGCAAGACCACCCCTTTGCCGTGGTTTCGCTAGATATAGACATTAACAGTTCATAATGATTTGTTCCTTCCTTCCTCACGAGTCATGACTTATTAGTTATTATATACGCAATACCTACCTATTTCAGTGTATTTATACCAATTTATATCGTGATTAACTAACATCTATAAATTGTGTTTATACTATTTATAATTTCTATTATAATCCATGTGGTATTGCAATAATAAAAAATGCTTTTGTAGGAGTAGTAGGAACTTATGAAAGCGGATAAATAGATTTTTTTTTTAAATATTTATGTTGATAAGTAAAGAAAGTATTGGCTTACGAAGTCTTGTATATTATTGTTTACTTGTAGTTACACTTTTATATTAATTTTATAATTCGTAAAAAGTCATTTTCATTTATCATATTACACATATAAATATTTGTCTAATAATGAGTAATGACGTGCCGCGTGGTATTATAGATTTATTTGTTTACATATTGTGTTTTGTTATTTGTGTACATAGAGACCACTCGAATTGGGTGCAGATGTCGTGCTCTACTCACTGAGTAAGTACATGAATGGTCATTCGGACGTCATAATGGGTGCTCTTGTCGTAAACGATACGGAATTATACGATCGTCTAGCCTACATTCAGAATTGTAAGTACCTATACTCGTGTAAGTTAATTCGTGTGAATATTATGTTTTAGTCTGGTTCATAATAATATATTAACATCTGTATTTTACTACATTTGTATTTTTAGTGTTCACATTTTTGTAATCTCAAAGAAAGAACGTTTTTTCAAATTTTTTCTAACTGCTTTTTTATATTTATGTTAAAATTTTCAATTTCATATTCACAAGTAGACTTTTTTTTTGGCAGGGGTAGTTTTCGTAATTATATTTTAAATATCCTCTATAGCCCATATATATGGTCTATACCTACCTATAATAAGTAATACCTATCGAATTGCTGAAAATTGTATAAATACTTACCTTATAAATAAGTTATAATTTATAACCTTTTCAGAAACATGGGTAGCTGTTAAAAACTGAAATTTAAAAAAAAAACCTAATAAACCTAATATAATTTAATGATGCAATTATAATTTGCTTGCATGGATAATATAGACAACAGTGGCGTCTTAACTCCCTCATCGGCCCTTCTCATGGTTATGTCGTATTGTCGTATACATACACTTATCAGCGTTACAGGTATCTACTTCTACTACATTTGAGAAATCGAAAGACCTTGAATTGTCTGATTTCAGTTAGATTCTCAAGAGTCGATAAGACTATACTTTACTATTTAACTTTTATAATCCTCGACGACCACGGTTTAATACCGGTTTTAGATCGGACTCAAAAGCAAACAGTAATTAAGTACCTATTGTATTTACTCAAAAAAATGTTCTTATGAAATGTGCGCGATAAGTGGAATCCAGTAACCCAAAAAATTCATGGTGCCAGCGTTCGTCGGGTCGTCGCAGCTACACACCCGTACTCCGACCTTCAAAATTCTCGACGAACCAACTTCCCTCGCCCGTCCTCCTCACTGTTCCGACTGTCTTAATTCCTAATAGATATAATTTACATTAGTGTTGCCTACCTATACAATATTAAAATAATGCTATATTAACAATATTTTAAAATTTATATTTTTATTCTATTTATTCTGTTTAATATAGTTCATATTATTATAGATACTTATCATAATATAGGAACCATTTGTACACACGCTACAGCTATTTTCACCATACCTTTATATATAAAAACGTACAAAATATTTGTCATAATAAAACATGACTTATGAATATTGAATATAGTTATTGATAATTGCCTTTGCCATTTTCTGCAGCTTGCGGTATCATGTCGTCGCCTTTCGACTGTTACCTTGTCAACCGAGGCCTGAAAACCCTGCACGTGCGCATGAAGGAGCACATGAAAAACGGATTAGCCGTGGCCAAGTACTTGGAACAGCATCCGCTTGTCGAACAAGTGCTGCACCCAGGTTTACCGTCGCATCCCCAACACAAGGTGGCTTTAAGTCAGACCAGCGGTTTCAGCGGCATGTTGTCGTTTTACATCAAAGGCGGAATCGGGGAAGCCACTAGATTCTTGCAGGCCATCAAAGTGTTTTGCTTAGCTGAAAGTCTGGGCGGTTTCGAGAGTCTGGCTGATCATCCGTAAGTTGACCTATATTATTAGGTATACCAGAGGCGGGTTCAGGAATATTCAACGGGGGGAGTGGAAGAGGGACTGTTAAAATATTTTGATACATAATATAATATACTTGGAAGGTGGCACAGTGGTATCATTACATTTTTTAAATTTTGAGGCAAACGTATTTACCAGCCTGTTTAACTGAAAAAGACGATCCCAAAATCGATCCCATTTGCATTTAACTAAGTATTATTTACACTTTAAATAATTGTATGCTTATTATAACATTTTCAAATTTTTAGGGGAGAGTGTTGATTTAAAAATGAAATGGGTGGCTAAATAACTATACACATAATGCAATACACAACAATGCTACCAAAATTGAAATTTCATACATAATTTTTAAAAAATGGATAAAATGGATAGTTTATAATGACCAATTTAGTATAGATACTTTTCGGATATGTTCTTCAAGTGACCCAACAAATGTCTTCCATATTTAATATTTTGCGATTTATCGTAATTTTGGAGTGGTTTGGTTGGAAAATTATAGTAATCTTGCTGTAGTATTTTAGAGATTCTAGGAACTATTCTTTTTATGTTAACCCTAAAAAAAATTGTTGTGCATCATGATGAAAGCTATACCTACTCTCTATATATAGATAATATTACTATAACCATTGATTTTAAAATATATACTAGTAATAATACTAAAACTAAAGTAAACACCTGTAGTGCGTTATATCAATATTGTAAAAAAGGACTTTCTTTTTAAATGAAGACATTTTTTTCAAACTATATATTAATATTATAATACATTATATTTTCAGAGCCCTTATGACTCATGCTTCAGTTCCTGCAGAAGAACGAGCAGCATTAAACATTACAGACAATTTAATCCGTTTGTCCGTGGGATTAGAATCCGAAGAAGATTTAATTGCCGATCTCGAACAAGCACTAAAAGCTTCTGTTCAAAAATAATCGTGTTCTAGTTTAAAATAGTATTTTATTTGTGTCAAATTACATTAATGTTAATCGGTTAATATAATATTATTATTATTTTTATATTATATTTTAAACTATCTACTTATTAATAATTCGGTTTTATTCGTTAACATTTATCTTCGGCTCCGCTCGCTTGAATCGCTTGTTCCAAGTCGTCGATCAAGTCCTGGTAGTATTCCAAACCAATGGACAAACGTATGAGATTATCGTGAATGCCCGTAGATTGTCTTTCTTCGTCCGTGAGCGAAGCGTGGGTCATTTTACAACTATATACGAAAACATTTCAATGTAACAAAATATTATTAATTATTTCCGGACGTCAACAAATAAAATAATATAATGAACACATTTCTTTATCGGTGCTATATTTTGTGGCTTCTTTGAGAAGCGGGACAATGTGCAGCATATTCCTAACTCACAAATGAACGTGAAATCAAAAACTTCGTTGGACCGCAAGTGATCGACAGCATATATATTATATTATGGCTCCCGGGTTATTATTATAATCAGTAGAGTCATTGAGGGGGGGGGGAGTGTGGCGAGATGTTCACACAGATTTTTGTAAAACGCCCAAATATAAAATAAAGCACTGGTATATGTTTGATTGTACAACGATGTAAATGTTATGTTATTTTACTTTTATTGGTTTCTGTAAACACTTTTTATAGTGGAGAAAATGCTGTGACCATCGACTTTGATTAAGGTTTTTTTTGTAGAAAATTGGATCTAAAGTTGGTACTTTCGAGAAGTCAAAATTGAAAATTCACTAAACATTCGTTAAAATTATAATGGTTGTATTAAAATAATTGTTTAGTTTTAGTAAATACATGATTTGATTAATTCTTATGTTATAATGATTTTTTATTTCATTTTTTTTCTCATTGTTTTATATTTTATCGATAAAATATTAAAATTGTAAATGTATATGGAATTTGATGGTGAGTGGCGAAGCACGTGGGTAGGCAAGTAACGGTTTTTGATAAATCGTCGTTATTGTTAATAAATAATAATAAAATCATTGTATAGACCATTGTTTAAATAATTTGTTTTAAGTGTATATTTTGGAATATTTTTATCGCATACACGCATGATAATTTAACACCTTTTTAGTGCATGAAATGCACAGCGCTGATAATACATTTAATACATTTTGAATTATATAATGTGTCAGAAAAATGAGTTGTCGGTTAATCGGTAAGTCACGAAAAGGCTATGGTACAATGTACATGACCTCAATTGGTATACTACCTAGGATGACGTGTTCCGTCTTTTTTTAAAAATATTAACACGTAGGTACTGATAGAATTGTTATCAAAATTAATTACACTTTATTGTTTATTTATATTTATTTAAAATGCAAACCGGCACTCACATTCAGGCGCGGATCTATAAATTAAAAAAGGGAGAGGCTAGACGAATAAATTTACTTCAAGTAAATAAAAGCATACAGGCACTAAGTTTTTACAGCGAATAAAATATTCATCATACCTACATGCTTATTAAAAAAAAATAATAATAATAATAAACTTTAACAGCAAAATTACTTTTTTTTTAAGGTTAGCTATTTTTAGTTTTGTTTGTAGATTTTTGTTGGTAGGGGGAGGAAAACTTGTGTGTTTGTTTGACAGTATTTTTGATTTGGGTACCCGTAGGTATCTGCTATGTCCGGGTGGTGGATTGGGGCACTTGTTCGCTGGACACCGTGACTTGCCCGAAGAAAAATGCCGTCCATGGCCGAGGTATCGAACCATCGTCGGCTGCGTCACAACCGAAGCCTTAGTAGGTAGTTAGTCCGCTCGGCCACTCCGTCCCCCAAAATTACTTTTTATTGCGTATCTATATACGCTTTATTATTATAAAGCTGAAGAGTTCTTTTGTTTGAACGCCCCGCTAATCTCAGGAACTATTGGTTCTAGTTGAAATAGTCCATTTAATATTTATCGAGGAAGGCTATAGGCTATAAAACATCACGCTACCACCAATAGGAGGAGCCCGGGGAGGTGCTCAAACAGGGATTTTGTAAATGTTTATAAATGGTTGCTATTAAGATAAATAATTAGAAGAAATAGTATTTATTTATTATTGGTTGCCCCATTGGTTAATCGGTAGATCTGGTGCAAGCATGCATCAAATCGAATTTTCACACATTGCCTACCAAGGTGGCTGAGTTGCACTTCAAACCCCTCATAGCCGTTGTCCACGATCTGGTGTAGTCTCATTGTCTAAGAGGGTGACCGAGTTGCACTCACTGCAGCAGGTTACACCCATAAGGAGTTGAACAATCACAATTTTTTTTAAGAATTGTCATTTTTACGCGTGAAACTGAGTGCGCGGGATCAGCTTATTCAGGCAAGAATGACATATTTTGAAGTAACTAATTCCTTAAGGGAGGGTCTTCAGCCCCCATATCCCCCTCCCTCTTGTATCCGATCCTGGTCACATTGTACCACATTTAAACAAAACAATATCGGAGACTATGCAGGTCTGATCACATGCGTGCAGGACAATTCAATTTTTTTTCATCCTACATAATGTTGTTTTATAACTACATAGGTACTTATAACTATATTATATGTTACTGTAAATGTCCGCAATTGGTAAGTGTTGACAATCACCTAGTGAATGTCGACATACACCTACTAAATTGGTGAATGTTGAAAAATTAAAATAATATGGACCCATGACGCAAGTACAAGTGGATAATTAACATTTACATCAAGGTTTTGGTCAATGTTGACATATGCGATAATTCGCACATAATATTATACTAGAACTAGGTATAGTACTATTATAGTCTATAGACAATAATATAAAATATAAACATTATGTTTAATTATAAATTTATTATTATTAAACAATATTATACTTGTATTATTAATATAAATTATGATTATTTTACCATATAAAAATTATGATTTAAAAAAAAAAACGGGGAAAATAACTCTTAATAGATTAGAATGCATGATAAATTTGCATGATTTCAACATGACAAACTGTCATGACATTTCGTAATACATAAAATGCTAACATTTCTACCACCACCCTTTTTTGTGGTGCACTTTGTTTTGCAATACATCGCGTATACCCTTGCCCTCTGATGCAGAATCTTGCCTTAAGGAAATTTGTTGATCCCCTTGTACATCAGTGATTGATATTAAATTGCATTTAAACACTGAAAATTTGTTTCTGGTGTACAATGACTAATAAATGTCTTGTGATTTATAACACAATATTGTTGGTAGCTAATTTATAAAAATATATCTATTACGTCTAAGACTACAGCTAACCTATTTCGGGGATACATTTTACTACGGTCAAAAATGTTTTAGTTATTTTGCAAATCAATCGTATATATACAATAAAATACACCTAAATAGCTACGTTAAATGACAATAATATCATATAAAATTTTAGCGAGGCTCTATAACATAGCGGTTATCCAGATATATAATAAAGAGTATTTGGGACAGTTAGGTAAGGTAATAAAACATTTTATCGAAATTATTATCGACTTGTACAATAGGTACCTTTACTGTATCGATAGGTACCTTCTAGAACACTATAGATAGTATGATTATATAGATCAGATTAACATTATCGTGGGCATTACCAAAATTCACCAATATCGTTCTATATAAATGACAAATGTCGACATTGGCACCAGTGAATGTTTACAAACAGTACAAATTTAATCAATAGCCAACATTGACCAACGGATTTGTTGTACGACGACATTGACTGACCGCACTATCACCAATATTGCGGACATTCACAGTGACATATTAAATAAAAGAATTAATATTTTCAATAACGTTTTCTGAAATAACGATGATAGTGACGACCCCTTAATGGGTAAGTTCCCCGCGGCATTTATACTCACGGTAGAGCGGCCAAGCTTTCGTAGCAGCCCAGGCTGCACGTGATGCAGAACAGCTTGAGCGATTCCAACAGCTTTGTGCTCACTTCGATGCCGCCGTTGACGTAGAACGACACTATGCCGTTGTGGCCGGTAAACTGTTTTTCGATGATTTCCCGTTGCTGATGACTGGGCAGGCCCATGTAGTTCACTCTGAGCACTTTGGGGTGCGATTCCAAGTACTCGGCCACTGCAGTGGCGTTTTTCATGTGCTGTTCCATGCGCACGTGCAGCGTCTTCAGCCCGCGGTTGACCATGTAACAGTCGAACGACGACGGTACGTTTCCGGACGCTGCGGCCAAAAGCAAATTATCGACGATTTGATGAGATTTTACATGTTTAAGTTTGGAGAAATGTCGCGTACGCGAACAACTAAAATGGATGGTGAAATATCTCGGTGAGCTTTTAATAACTTTATGTATATAGTTATATAGTGAAATTTAGAATAAAAAAATTTCAACTGCAGTTACACAAACGATCACATATTATACCGTTTGTGTAGAGGACATGCAAATACTATTCAAATTTAAAGTACGCTCAAAACTCCAATTTTTTAAATAATCATGTCGTTTATTATAGGTATTCGACTATCGGTTGAAATCATTCTTACCTACCATAATCACCTACCTATATAATGTCATATCAGATTACAGACATATACAATATTATAATAATATTAACTTATAGTTGTAATAAGTAATGTTTTACAAATTTAATTTGAAAACTTTGTCCCCACTGAAATACATACCTATACACGACACTATAATATATTTATTATACAAGATGTAGCCGAATAGGTATAAATATTATTTAAATACCGATAACGTTACTTACTGTATTGAAAAACGTATAATTTATCATATAAATCCTTGTTGTTGGTAACTAGTGCCCCCATAATTATATCCGAATGTCCGTTCATATATTTACTCAACGAATACATTATTACATCTACTCCAAGATCCAACGGTCTCTGTATCAACAAAACAAGAACAATTTAAATTATTTGTTATGATTTAAAAATTCAAAGTAAGTTTAATATTTAACATTATAACAGTTTGCTTGATAGGTACAATCTTGTATTTTTGTATTGTTGTAACAAAAAGTACTACATATACGATATGCCTATAGTCTATAAGGTATAAACATTTTTTCTAAAATATTCATGCATGGATTAAAATTATACAACATTCCTCCCCATAAATTCTAAATAATGGATTTAATTATAGTTTCTCTAAAATTATAATATGTAGATATTTAATTTACAGTAAAAAAACCATTTTATCTATGTACCTACCTACTACCTATAATGTGCTTAATGACAATATTTTCCTAAAATATTTGCTTGCGCTTATGGCATTAAATATCACATCCTAATATTCGAGACGTAGGTATAGGTCAACCGGAACCGCGAAAAAATAACCCCGGAAAAAATATCCCCGGAATTTTAGACCCCGAAAAAAAGAACCTCGAAAAAATAACCCCGTGAAAAAATAACCCCGTGAAAAATTAACCCCGTGAAAAAATAACCACGGGAAAAAACCCCATATGAGATTTTGAAAATTAATCTAAATATTGGTGTTAATATGTCATTGTGTAAAAAAAATTACAAAATGTATAACATACCTTACGTACAATTGTTATGTTTCCACAAATAACGTTAATTTTGGATTTAATGATAAATTATTTATTACCTACTATAAAAACGATTCAGAGCACGGTGTCAGTATGTCAGACGTCTGTCATATCGATCAGATATATAATAACAAGGTACAGCGACGGATAAGAAAGGTACCTTTATCTTTAATGTTCTAGAAGCGGTAATTTATAAAATTTGTGTATTTATAAAATGTCCTGAGCGTGCTCATTTCTCAGTATTACTACAGTGCTACAGTACTACAGTGGTCACTATATAGTGTGCTTTCGTATATTATATATTTCTCTGTGCTTTGTTTTAATTTCTATTTGAATAGTATTAGTGTTATGGACATTCTAGATATTTTCGAGAGCCAGAAGGGCAAAGAAAAGTTGGCATTTAAAAAGTATATGTATGTTGTACACAAAGAGTGTTTAAATTTTATAAGGTGGAAATGCTGCAAAAAAAATAGTCACAAATGTCCATGTATTTTAAAAACTTCCCTCGATAAAAAACGTTTAATTAAAATTGATCATGAACACAATCATCTTTCGTCTCAAAATGAAATTGATGCCGCAAAAATTAAAATTAAAATTAAAACACGGGCTAAAATAACGAAGTCTACGCCAGCACAGTTATTTTCAGAAGCTATGACGGGTCTTTCGGAAAGTATTCTAGAAGAACTTCCGAAAGAAAAATCTATTAAAAAAACAATTCAAAATCAAAGGACTCAGAGTTTTCCAATAGTACCTGAAAATCTAACAGATTTAAAAATAGAAGGTATGTACTATGAATATTGACAGTTAATACAATAGTCAATATTATTTATTTATTTATTATTAATATACGGAGCAAAACTCGGCTTAACAGGCACAAAATACAACACGCTGTTCTATTATATTATTATTATATTAGGTATAAATAATTATTAATAATAATAATACAGTACATTTATTAACATTGATATGTGTACGATAATTACTACATATTAAAAAAATAATTGATATGATCTTTAAATGCTTATAAAAAAAAAATTGTGCCTAAGGATTTTTAATATTTTTCATCTGCCTTTGAAACAATATATTAGGAGCCTTCTATTAAATTTTCAAGCTTTTGCAACCAACAAATAAAATTTTATTGATATTTTTAGAAAAAAAACTAAAAAAAAATGGAAAATGAAAATGTCCCTAAACAGTTCAAAATAAATCAAAATATTTTGAAAATGTTATCGTGTATAGAATATGCAAATATAAACAACCAGTGAAATTTTCATGTATATACGTTCATTTGTTTTAGAGTTACACCAATAACCAAAATCGATTTTTTGGAAAACCAATTTTGCGTAAAAATTCCCGTTTTTCCTTAATTTTTATGTTGTTTTTCCCGGCGCTTGTGAAAACTACTGGAAAATTTATACTTTTGACCCCCCAAAATACCAACTAGATTCACTTTCCTGACGTGATGACAGACACAAAAAAAAATAAAAAATAAAAAAATAAAAAAATAAAATATATTAAAAAAAAATAAAAAAATATAAAAACACACATCATTGTAAAACCAATACATTCATCGCTCCGCTCAGAATCTAAAATTAAATTATACTATCAACATAATATATTAATTATTAATATAATCATAATTGTATTGTAGGTGAATGGAGTATTTATGAAAATGAAACGTTTTTATTATTTGATAACCATAGTGAAGAAAATGAAAGGGTCATCATTTTTGGATCTAGAAGTAACTTGAAACTCTTAGCAAGTTCAAATACCTGGTATGCAGATGGTAACTTTGGATTGGCCCCGAAAAATTTTTTACAATTATACGTTATAAGAATTGGAAAATATAATGAATTCTTTACGGTTCTTTTCTGCCTACTCGAAAAAAAAACTCAAAGTATTTACGAAATAATGTTCCGTGCTATTCTTTCAGTCTGTGAAAAGAACAATCTTTTTCCAGATCCACTATACCTGAAAGTTGATTTTGAAAAAGCACTAATAAATGCTGCAAAAAATGCAAGCCTGGGCATAAACGCGTTAAAAAGTTAAAAGTTAAGTTAAAAGTTAAGTTAATTTTAACTTTTAACTTAACTTTTTGAAATTTAATTTTCATTAACTTAATTTTTAACTTAACTTATTTTAATTGATATAAACTTAATAAATAACGAGTTACTTTTAATCAAATTCAAGTTAAGTTAATTTATAAATAATTAAATAATAATTAATATAATAAAAAAAAATTATTATTGATATTACATAACCATTTATTAGAATAGGAAATTACAAATATAGTTAAATTAATTTCTCGTTCCGTTAACCAGAATTCTTCAGAAAAAATAACTCGATTAAATACATATAGATATAGCAATATGCAATAGCCAATAGCCAATTATATTATAACATAGAGGTGTATCGTATATATAAAGATATACCGTACCATACAGCGGCATACGGGCATATTGTAATAATAATAATTAATAAATACTAATAACTAATAAGTAATAAGTAATATGATAAACCTATTATCTTATTATTTTGATATATAGATACAAATCAAAAATGTACAATTCTGAAGAACATAATGTAAAATATTTTCGGCATAAATAGGTTATTTTTAAATTAAAACTAATTGGGTTGTGCCCATGTAAATTTATATTTCAAATGTTTATATTTATAAACAGTCAATATTGTCAGTAGACAAAATATTCATAGCCCACATGGGTTCACTTTTCGTTCTCGGCTCTATCAGCACGCAACACACGATTTCGGATTTACAATACCGCGTTTCAGTGATTTGTGTGAATTGTGTACCTACTATATAATAATTATGGGTAGGTAGAATTATTCTATTAATTCAGTACCTACCTATGTATAGAAAAGCTATTGGCTATTTCATGTGTTCAATAATATTTATGATTTTTATTATTTTAAACCATATTACTGGGTGTTTATATAGATACAGTAGAACTTCCATGTAACGGTCACCAAAGGGTCTGTAAATAATGACCGCTATTTAGAGGTGACCGTCCTATAGATGTAGGATAACACTCGACGGGACCAAAAAAATTGACCATTACATAGAGGTGACCGTTTACGGAAGTTTTACTGTATTATGAAAAAAAAAATTAACTTAACTTAACTTAAGTTAATAAGTTAATTGAAAATGTTCATATAACTTTTAACTTAACTGAGTTAAAAAAAAAATTAGGTTAACTGTTAACTTTAAACTTTTTAAAATGTTTTCCATTAACTTAACTTAACTCAGTTAAAAATTTTCATTAACTTGCCCAGGCTTGAAAAAATGTACTAGGGGAACATTTAACAATAAATGGATGTTTCTACCATCTTTGTCAGAGCACTCACAGGAAACTAGCGGAATTTGGGTTAAAAAAAAGGTATCAAGATGATGATAATTTTAATAACTTTTGTGGTATGTTGGATGGTTTGGCTTTTTTGCCACTAACTAGATTAAACGAAGGTATTGAATATTTAAAATTAAATATACCTCTTGGGGCGGAGGATTTATTTAATTATTTTGATGAAACGTACGTGAGTGGAACGTTACGTCGAGTTAATAAACAAAATGTTTCAAGTTTAACCGTTCGACGTTTTCCAGCAATATTTCCTCCGGAAACTTGGAATGTTCACGAAACAACTATACAAAATAATCAACGTACTAATAATGTTTGCGAGTCATGGAACAATAGATTTAGACATTTAGTCGGAGTACAACATCCATCGATTTGGACATTAATCAATAAAATAAAAAATGAACTGTCGGCTGACCGTGCAAAACTTGCTTTGCAAACTGTAGGAGAGTCCAAAACTAAATGTTCTAAATCAAAAACTGCTCAAAAGAGATTAAAAACGTTATGTGAACGGTTAAATTCAAACGAAATTGAAGTAGACATGTTTTTGAAAAAAATATCCTTTAATTTAAGAAAACGATTATAAAATAGATATTAATATTATATATATTATAGGTTAGGTTTTAGGTTATTATTATTGTATTACCCATTTATGGTGAATATTTTTTATTTATATATTATTATTGACATTTCCATTCGTTTTTACCGTGATTGAACAATTTGACAATTTGTTTTAAATTATTATTATATTATTGAAATTGTATTGTATTACCCATTTATGGTGAATATTTTTTATTTATATATTATTATTGACATTTCCATTCGTTTTTACCGTGATTGAAAAATTTGACAATTTGATTTAAATTATTATTATATTATTGAAATTGTATTGTATTACCTACCCATTTATGGTGAATAATTTTTAAAAATTTGACAATTTGTTTTAGGCCTACATGTACAACCTTACAAATCAATTTTATTATAGTTATTTTGGTTATTTTTTCCGTGGTTATTTTTTCACGGGGTTATTTTTTCGGGGGTTTTTTTTTCGGGGTTATTTTTTCTGGGGTTATTTATTAGGCAAATCAGGTCAACCACTACACCACATTAGTATGAACTACGTCGATTAATTGAGACAAGATAGGCAAGGAGAGGCTCCACGGAAGACCACTCCATATCCACTACCTTCTTGCTGTGTGGGCCCTAGGAACACCTACCGAGTGCCGACCAACCAACACCAAAGAATTGTTGTTTATTTTATATTTATATCATAGTATGTAGCCATTATGTAGGTATATAGGTATTATATTTTAGATGTAAGCTCTAGCCACCACGTCGCATATGTATTTTATATACTATAAATTATGTGTTTGTATGTATATCGATGATTTTGTATATTTTTACTGTTACCGTTTTATCCACAATAAACGATTCGATTTAGGTGGAAGTAATACTACCTCAGTCCGTCTCAGTTGTGATACCATAATATGAAAAAAAAAACGGTGTAGGTAATAACTGCCTAATGGCTACTCATGTCTCAATCTGTGACTATATTATAATACAATATTTGCGCTTTCACTTTTTGGCTATACTCCATCGACTAACCAATCGTCAAATATCACTTATAATATATAGCTAAATCGATTTGTAATATAATAATGATCTAGAGTTGATTAACTAGACGACAAAAACGATTCACAGAAGTAATTAGGTATACCGTACACGCATTTATATAATCCAGTATTCCAGTAAAATTACCTGAAAATAGGGAGTCACGAATGAATTATCAACGGCAACTATAATGTCTGCTCGAGTCCTGTGAACGACTTCAGACACTTCTTGTACGTCCAACACGATCATTAAAGGATTCGACAGACTCTCAAACCAAACGAGCTGAAACAAATTGCAATATATTCCATTGGTAACATTATATTAATTATATAAGTGAGAAGTAAATGTAAAAAAGCAGCGACAAATAATTTATTGGTATGTTATGCGCAAAAATTAGTATATAATACTGAGCTTTTTTGACACGTGTAGTCTTATAAAATGATACATGAAATGTGAACAATGTATGGAAATGTGTAGGTATTGAATATTTACGGGTCCAAATCAACATTTTGTCATTTTCATTCAGAATGAATTAATTATAAATACGAAAGAGACATATTTTATCTATACGTTATTAGAAATGTTCAGATGATTAAACATACAATACTATACAAGTCAATTATTAGTCTAAGTACCTATACAATACTTACAGTATATTATGTTTGTATAATAGTTATCTATAACAATGGTAAATGTATAATTAATAAATAAGTGATCTTTTTTTATCCCATACGATTATAATAAAATGTACGGTATTATCTGTAGCTACCAATACATCAAAATATGTGTATTAACCTATACAGATGCATATAATAATTGTATCGAAATAATTGATATAGATACTTACCAATACCGAATATTACACTATTTATGCGCATATTATATTCAGAAGTCGATGCGTGTCATTGCTATAGACTGTAGCTATTGTATTAAATCTCCAGTGATAAGAAACGGATTATATAATTAAAAATATACTAGCTGTCAGTTTTTATAAAATGTGTCCCTAGTCCCTAGATGAATTTATTAATTCGTTAATTTTTGTTCTATATCAATTAATTTAACTATACAATATTCTAATCGGGGCCATGAATAAGTGAATATTTTCAAGATTTTGCATATTGCGAGGAATTTCGTTCTGAAATCAAAATAAGTAAAATACCAAAAGTTGAAAAAGTTACTTATCATACTATATTCAATGCCATATTGTGCGTACTGGAAAAACAAATAAAAGAAAGGTGCTCTGCTGTACAGTAGGTTACAAGTGGGTCACTGTATAATGGATGGTATTAAATTTGAATTCAATGATATAATATCATTGTATAAGAAAAACGATTCTGAGAGGAGACGGTATGTCCGTTTAGGTATAAGACATATTAGGTAGGTATATATTTATCTATGGTAGGTATTAAAAAAAAAAAATGACCTATAATAAATTCCAAATTAATCATATCACAATATCCATTAGGGACTTATAACGCGTTATAACATCAACATGAAACCCTGATACTATCATAGATATATACGTAATACTTTAGAAGTTTCAAGTACCCACGGATAATATTATACAATCACAATAAAATATCTAAAATAGCTATCCTAGTTTTTTTTTTTATGTCATTTCGTCCTAATTTGAACTTAAAATGACTATAAAAATAAACTGTGCTTATGAATTTTTTAGATTTTTTGGTAACAGAATGAACTACATACATGGAATCTTATTTTAAATTTTCAATCCTTAGATATAAAAGTTGAATTTTATAAATTTTTAACTACAAAATAATTATTCAATATTAAATTGGATAAATTTTGTCAAAATTCGATCTTTAAATGCTTATAAAAAAAAATTGTACTAATGTATTTTTAATATTTTTCAACTGATATTGTAACAATATGTCAATATATCAGGAGCCTTGTATTAAATTATTACACTTTTTGGCCCAACAGATAAAACTTTATTGATATTTATAGAAAAAAAAAACTAAAAATATTGAAAACTAACAATCTCCGTAAACAGCTCAAAAAGAGTCAAAATATTTTCAAAATTGTTTGGTGTATAGGAAATGCTAATATAAACATTCAGTGAAATGTTCATGCATCTACAGTAGTTATTCGTTTTTGAATTACAACAAAATAAGGAAATCGCTACATGAGAAATCGAGTGAATATCCAATGTTTTAAAAATTTGAATTTCAAAAGCTCATAAAAATTTAATTTGACTCTCTTAAAGACATTTTTTTTTTTGATAAAGGTAGATAATCTCATAAGGAATCTTGTATTACATTTTAAAATCTTAGATTTAAAAAGAAAAATCTTTACGAATTCTTAACTCAAAATAATTTTCTAATTTTCGTGATTTTTCCATATTTTGTCAATTTTTGAATTTTAAATGCTTATAAAAAAAACTGTGACTAAGGATTTTTAATATTTTTCATCTGCCTTTGAAACAATATACTAGGAGCCTTTGTATGGAGCTTTATAATATTATTTCCCTATTCTAAGTATTTTTCGTGCACTATTATAATTCGTACCGCATATATAGAATGATGATGATATTGTTTAAGTAAATCACGGATGAACGGCTATGATTAGGGCTGTGCAGCATTTGTAGAAAAACCCATTATTTTTAGCATATTTACTTTAAACCTAAGTTTGATTTCAGTACTAATATGAAGTAAATTTGAAACTTTTACACTTGAGAAAATTTTATATTTTTTACTTACAGTGTAGGTACCTACATATTTTATATTGGATTCTTAAAGATTTTAATGCATTTATATGCATTTTTCGGGATTTATAGTCTTTAAAGAAAATTTTAAGTGCATTTTTTTTAAGTTTTTAAAACCGTATTAAACTCGCAGCTCTCTATATATAGTATAATGGCGTATGGGCGCGGGTATGATATGCTTCCGAGTTCCGATCTCACCTTCGTGTTGGGTCTTATACTTTTGACGATGGTCGCCGTGTCGGAAAAGTCGACAAAGTCGAACAAGATGCCCGCGTGCTTGGCCATCTTGTTCAGTAGCCGGTACGTGCCGCCGTACACGTCGGAGCTGCACAACATGTGGTCGCCGGGCGCCAACAGGTTGACCATGGCCGAAATGGCCGCCATTCCGGAGCTGTAGGCCAGCGCGTACTCGGCGTGGTCCAGCGCCATCAGACATTTTTCCAACACCGAACGGATTGGATTGCCACATCTCGTGTACTCGAAACCCTATAAAACACCATACGTAAGTAATGATCATTAGCACAACTAGGGGGGGGGGGGTGCTTTGGGTCCTTAGCACCCCTAAAAAAATCGTTTCGTGTTAGGTCACATAGAACCTGGAGCTTAAGCACCCCCTAGTTCAAATGTCTAGTTGCGCCAATGGTAATAACTCATAATATTATGCACGTATCGAAAGAATATTATGAGGTATTTATAAAATATGTAATTCCAATGTAAAACGGTGCTTCGAACCCTCCAGATATTTTCCGAGTATACCGGTCCCACATATATAGAGATAATACTATACCTATAAGTATTGGTAGGTATTAAAATGTCGAATCTTTGAAATTAAAACTGTTAAATTGTGAACTCATATAGCCTGTATACATATTATAGCCATAATATTAACTTATAAGCATATTAGTTCTGAGCTTACGGGATAATCAAACTTAAAAGCCCTAAAAAAAAATCATAAATATCAGCGTGTTGTCGAGTATTTCATATAAAATATTGATTTTTTTTTCATGGCTTTATTGGAATAGAACAGTGGCGCAACTAGGGTTCAAATCTTGGGGGTACCACCATAATGAATCTCTCACAAATCCGTGGGGGGCTCCGTCCCACACATCCCCCAACATTTCTATTATTTTATTTATACTACTGTTCACAGTTATACCATTAATAGAAAATAAATTTATCACATTTTATTTTTTTTTATTATATTATAATCCAAGGTGTCAAACATAGGTTAGGTTAGGTTAGGTTCCTATCGATACTAGCAAATGAGTTTAATACTTCTTCATTAGCCTGGTCTATCTCAATATTTATAATACTCAAATTAGTATAATAGTAATTAGTAATAATCAAAATGTGGTCAAAAAGTGCTCGAATTGGTGGGGGGGGGGGGGTACAGGGGGACGGAGCTCTTCTACTATTTTTTTTTACTTGGACGGGTACAAAGTATGCCCAAAATAATTGTAAATTGTTTTCAAAGATGAAAACCTAATGAATTTTACATTTGTTAATATAAATATATTTATCATCACGACTCGTGTCAACTTTGTAGGCCATGAAAGAAAAAGTACTTTAGCTGCTAGTTTTGCGTAATTTACCCTGCATAAGTGTGCCCAAAAAATGTCCATAAAAGTTTCAATAATTTTGTTTTAAGTTTGGTATCACAAGTAAGCTCAATTTATTGATTATCTATGTCTGTAGACATTTTAACTGTCATTATATCTACTGTAAAATATGGTTCTTCAATTCATTCATAATTTATAATAATTATACAATTATTGTATAATTTATTTATTTTTTTAACAAAAAAGACCTGTCATGACCCATTTGTATAGGTTACAAGACCCAAGATTTAGTAATGACCCACCGATTCAGTACCACTGGTTTAGACTTCCTAATACCTTGCTAATTTTTTTATTATAGTTTGCTTGTATTATATCAATATCATTATAAAATTATCAAATAGAATATAATATAATATCAAGGTGGATATATCCACCTTGTATAATATAATACATTATCAAAATATTATAGGTAGGTATACCAACATTACTATATATTTTTATTTCAAATTTTCTGTGTTACTAAAAACTTAAGTTTTCTGAAATTCTAAGCATTTACATAATAATATGACATTTTTAATAAAAATCAATTAATTTCATAATTTTTAAAAATATTGTTTGATATTTTTAAATGTAAAAAACACTAAACAGTAAAAAGTACAAAGTTTTTAATTCAGTCATTTCTTAAACCAATAGGTACTCGCACTACAGTAGCGGATCTGAAGCTCATTTAAGGGGGGGGGCGAATTGGTATCATAGAATTTCAATATATACATATTAGTCAATAAACATCTGTTATATATTATATATAAAAAAAAATTAAACCATATAAAAATTCAACAGTCTTTTATTCAATATTAAATAAACAAATGTACCTATTAATAATTTATTTGAGCAACAATTGTATATGGTTATTTAATATTTTTCTATCAGCCGCAAATTTGTCCATGAACAATGAAAATAAAGTATTCATCACTCAATATTAAAATTGAGTTATTTACCACAGTCCCAGTGAACAAAATATTTAATTTATTTTATAAAAATGAAGTGATAACAGATTTGATGGTAGGAAAAAAAGTCTCGGGGAAAAAAAGTCCCGGGAAAAAAGTCTCAAGTCCTAGGGGGACGTGGCCACGTTGCCCCCCCCTCAAATCCGCCACTGAGGCACTAAGACTAAATATATTGAGCAATATTTTTCTTATTATATACCTAATATATTGTAAGTAAGACGTAAGTGTATTTTTGCAACGGTGTGACGTTCTAAATATAATAGAGGCAGGATTCTTTACTGGGTTATTATAAAGGTGCAAATTGAACAGACAATAATTCAAACTCAGATTCTGATTCTGAAAATATCCCTCCTAATAACGGGAATAGGTAGGTACCTACTATGGAAAATTAGTAGAAGGATCTTAGGTTTTTGAAACTTTTTTTTTTGTTGTAGAACGTCGAGACAAAGCTACACTTATTCCAATAATTGAAAAAGAAATACTTCCAGGAACAACAATTATGTCAAATGAATGGAAACCCTACACATTTTTATAAAATTAAGGTTAGGTATGAACACTTGACTGTGAACCGTTTTGAAAATTTTGTCGACCAGCTAACAAGGACCCAACACCCAGACAATAGAATGCATTTGGTCACATCTTAAAATGAAAATACTTCGAAAAATGCATGGCATTACATCGATATTTTTACATAGTCATCTAATTGAAGCATGGTGGAAGTCAGTTATTAATCTTCAACATAATGTTTTTAAATGTTTAGCTCTGTAGGTACTTGAAATTTTTTTATAATTGGCTACCTACTTATTTTTTATTTTTTGATATTTGACGAACATTTGTATAATGTGACGTAATAAAAAATATAATTTGTTTTTATATATTAAAATACTAAACTATTAAAAAAAAATATGTTTAATTTTTACATAGATCAGTGATCACTCAATCGTGGAAGATCACCTACTACACGAATGCCCATAGTTTTTTATGTGGGTGCTTACATAGATGTAATATTTAACTTATTTTCAGTAAAATATAGAAATATTTCTTTAAAGTACTTAGTTACCTAGTTAGGTACCTAGGTACCTAGTTATATATTTATAATATGTTTTATGTCGAATTAAAACAAAAATGTAATCAATAAAAAGTTCTGCTGTTGTAGGAATAACAGGTAGGTTATGTTATCGTGTTATAGTATTTTAAAGTTTTGAATTGTTAGGTTGCTAAAAGTATTAAAATGTATTAGGTATGCACATGGACGTCGGGAGAACTCATGGTGGGGTCATGGGGCTTAAATACCCCCCATTGAAAATTTCCGAGAGTGCCACTGGGTTTGCATTATTGGTTATTGTACAAAATGTGTAGGTAGTAGGTATTTATGATAAACAGAAAAACTTTTTTTTTTTATTTGTGTACCTAATGTGTCTTAGTGTTTGACGGGGTGGTTGATTATATGAATTAGTTTGACTGTTCAAGCAGTGGCGTCATTTCAGTTTTTGAGAGGGGGGCAAAATTTTTGACCGGCCCAAAATAAAACTGAAAAAAAAAACCGCTCGCTAACAATAACATTACAAATTAGTGGAGATGGTCTTAACTATAGTGACTTGATAGAGAGTCACTATAGTCTTAACATATATTTATATATTATGGACTATATCAAGTATTCAAATATATTCCATAATATTGCCATAGGTAACTAAAGTAAATTATGAACTATTATTATATATATTGTATATTTAACTTGTAATATTGTGTGCTTGAAATGTCAAAAAAACCCACCAATTTTTAAAACAATATTATTTATTTGAAATACGATGTAAACATGTAAAATACACTCACTTGATTACCCTAAACTACAATAGTTTTATTTAACTAACGGCCTTTGTTGTTGATAAAAAATAGTTTTATTTAATATTTATTATTCACAGTGTCACCTTCTACAATATTTATATATTTTATTGTAATGTAACCAAATCCCGTTCCTCCAGTGGAAAAGTAAGTTATTTAGTCATTTTATTCGGACATACATACCCCTCCAAGAGACGGGATGCAAATCGGACAGACCCCTCCAAAACACAGCATGCAATTTGGACATTCCAATTTATAATTATTTGTTTGGCATGCAATTTGGATGCACCGCTAATGAATGTATACATACAAGTATAAAATGTA